ACCCGCGGGTGCTCGACGCCATGCTCCCCTTCTACCTCTCCCGCTACGGCAACCCGCACTCCCGCACCCACCTCTACGGCTGGGAGTCGGACGCCGCCGTCGAGGAGGCCCGCGCGCGCGTCGCCAGGCTCATCGGCGCCGACCCCAGGGAGATCTTCTTCACCTCGGGCGCCACCGAGTGCAACAACATCGCCGTCAAGGGCGTCATGCACTTCTACCGCGACCGCCGCCGCCACGTCATCACCACCCAGACCGAGCACAAGTGCGTCCTCGACTCCTGCAGGTACCTCCAGCAGGAGGGGTTCGAGGTCACCTACCTCCCCGTTCGCCCCGACGGCCTCATTGACGTCGCGCAGCTCGCCGATGCCATCCGCCCCGACACCGGGCTCGTCTCCGTCATGGCCGTCAACAACGAGATCGGCGTTGTCCAGCCGCTCGAGGAGATTGGCCGCATCTGCCGCGAGAAGGGCGTGCCCTTCCACACAGACGCGGCGCAGGCTCTCGGGAAGATCCCAATTGATGTCAACCAGATGGGGATTGGACTCATGTCGCTGTCTGCTCACAAGATTTATGGGCCCAAGGGTGTCGGTGCGCTCTACCTGCGCCGCCGCCCTCGCATTCGCGTGGAGCCACAGATGAGTGGGGGTGGCCAGGAACGTGGCATCCGCAGTGGCACGGTGCCCACGCCAATTGTTGTTGGATTTGGTGCTGCCTGCGAAATTGCAGCCAAAGAGATGGACTACGACGAGAGGCGAGTTAGTGCTCTGCAGCAGCGTCTGCTTGATGGCATCCGTTCCAAGGTTGATGATGTTGTCATCAATGGTAGCATGGAGCACCGGTACGCGGGCAACCTGAACTTGTCATTTGCATATGTCGAGGGCGAGAGCTTGCTGATGGGGCTGAAGGAGGTGGCTGTGTCAAGTGGCAGCGCATGCACCAGTGCTAGTTTGGAGCCTTCCTATGTGCTCCGGGCGCTTGGTGTGGATGAGGACATGGCACACACCTCCATTCGATTTGGCATTGGCCGCTTCACCACCGAGGAAGAGGTCGACAGAGCAACTGAGCTCACTGTCCATCAGGTGCTTAAGCTCCGGGAGATGAGTCCACTCTATGAGATGGCTAAGGCAGGCATCGACATCAAGAGCATCCAGTGGTCGCAGCACTGAGACTCTTATCACAATGCTGTTCGCTGGACTGCTTTAGATGTGCTCGGATGGACACATACATAGGTATATGGCCTTTAGCTGTTCTTTTTATATCCTGTTTTTTTTATAAGGGAATATGTACTATACCTGCTAGTGGAAGTGTGTGACCTTGAACACTCGTTGAATCCGGTAGGCCACTGCTGGCTAAGTTTTGAGAATGTTACCGTGTGTGCAATGTTTTCTCAGTAATAAGCTACAATCATTTGTTTGTGGCAGTTTGTTTTCTATGCAAAGTTACTGCAGATTACTTTGAGAACCTGATTAATAGAACATAGTATGCAATGATGGTTAAATTGCAAGGTTAAGTGCAGCAGAACGTGAAATCTTTGGTTGTAGATCCTTTCATTGCCATATTATTTCTACATTGGGATGTTGCAAATTTTGTGCTGATAAAGAAATGGACAAGACAATGTCTTGCTTGAAGGATATCTCTAAATGACAAAAGTTATCTCCAATCTGAACATCTGAAATCAATATGTTGTTCACTTGATGACTTGATGTCTTAGTTTGTTTGCTTTGCAACAAGTCATTGTGAACTTCAAGGGCATGCTTACTTTGCAGACTGATTTTGTAGAGCACCGTACACCAAAATGACCTGATCATATGACAATATGACATTGTAACTGAACTGGATTTCGCCAATATAACTCAAATGTGACATGGTTTTCTGTGTTTTATAGATTTGTCTGTTTATTTGTCCCATTCATCCTTTGTTCTGTATGCTCTTTATGCTTCTGTCTGATTTTTGCATATCCATTTTAGTTCTTCGGTTTCCTTCTCAACTCTTTATTTATTTATTTCAAATTGAGTTTTAGATAGGTACTCCCTCCGTTCCAAAATAGATGACCCAACTTTGTACTAGCTTTGTACTAAAGTTAGTACAAAGTTGAGTCATCTATTTTGGAACGGAGGGAGTAAGTTTATAACTACCAATATCATACTTACTCCCTCTGTCTGGGTTTATTAGGCCACATCTTATTTTGTGCTAAATTTTGATCTGCAAATTTAACTCACAAAATGTATATTATATGTCACAAAAATTATATTGCTGGGAAGCTCTTTCAAATACAAATCCAATGGTGTACTTTTTGTATCATACTAATATCAGTATGAATTCATCAATATACTAAAAATTATATTGCTGGAAAGCCTTACATTATGGGACGAAGGGAGTATATTTTATATATTTTTTGCAATATAGATGATCAAAATCTGACACAAAATACAAGGGGCCTAATAAACCCGGAAGGAGGTAGTACATTCTATGTTCCTTCCAGTCTGGTGTTTTGCTTCTCACATATTATTGCTATTCGCATCAATGAAACTAATCTTAATAATACTAAGAGCATGGCTTCATACTAATTTACCATATGAATTCATCTAGACAAATTCTGTGTGTATATGTTGTTCTCCTGTTCCTTGGGTTGTACTCCCTCCGTCCGGAAATACTCGTCATCAAAATGGATAGAAGGGGATGTATCTAGATGTATTTTAGTTCTAGATACATCTCTTTTTATCCATTTTGATGACAAGTATTTTCGGATGGAGGGAGTATACTTGTGTATTCTCCAATTTTAATCATACTCTTGGTTGTGTTCTTCACCAATGTTCTGGTGCATCCAGTATCCTTATCTCTTTCTGCATCAGCGTTTTCTCTACCTTTGGTACATTTTTGGTGCCGTTTTGTTGTAGAAAATTCTAGGCTTAGCAAGGTAGTACATAATTCTCATGTTGACATATTGTAACTGTTCTTTCAATGATCTACTCCCTCCGTTCCTAAATATAAGTCTTTGTAGAGATTCAACTAGATGGACTACATACGGAGCAAAATGAATGAATCTACACTTAAAATGCATCTATATACATCCGTATATGATTCATAGTGAAATCTTTACGAAGACTTATATTTAGGAACGGAGGGAGTACATCAAAATGGTATGTTCAGAGTATATAACCATGACTTGGCCAGTTGGTCTCGTAACTGGATCAGTGTTGCAGGTATTTCTGCAATACTAAGATCAGTTTTCAGTAGTTATGGTTGTATGGAAGGCATTCTTAAAAAGAAAACTCATGCTTCAGTAATTTCTACTGTTTAGTACTGGGAAGATCTACAGTTGCCATATACTCTGATTCTGTACAACTGTCTAATACAGTACATGGTTGAATTATTTCAGGCACGTTTGGTAGTTGAAGATAGTGTTGGCATCCTAATCATAATGATAGATCTGCGAAGATGATCGATGAGTATTATGTAAGGAGGCATGTTTGGCAGCACTCAAAACAATCTGGCGAGAGTTAGATTTGTTCTCTAGCTGGAATGTATCAAAACACGAAATAATGATATTTGCTGTTGTATCTTTTGAAGGACAGTTTGAACTAGTTACAGCGCTGTGTATGTATTATTGCTGCAGATATGGTTTTGGTATTCTCTCAGTTTGTTATGACAAGAGATATGTACTCTTTGGTTCTGATTTTTTGTTATTCTGGTAACATCTCAATAATCTGGTGGGGGCAACGTTCAACTTGTGTTGTGGGTGGCTTCGAGCTTGAGTTGCCATATCATTTGATCCGTTCCATTCCATTCACTGCATCTATTGTGAATACTAGTAGAAGCCAATAGTTTTCATCTATACTACTCGCATCCAAATGAAACTGTGTAGGCCTAATGAAGTAGTCGTGATTTCAGTTCAGAATAAGTAATGTACGTGGTCGGTGTCTGGAGTATTTAAGGAAAAAAACGAAGGGAATTTGGCAGATGTCCAGTCGAGAGGATCCTTTCTGAAATAGTTTCAGAAATACTGTATTTCAGTTGTGTGGAAATTTCAGAGTAAACCACCTACCCAGGCCACTTATGATGTTATTACTCTGTTTTATGGTCCGTATACAGCACATAGGAATTCTATAACATGAGTAATTTAGCGAATACCAAGCGGGGCTCGTCTGAAGTGCGCTCTAGGGCGCGCGGATTGCATCAGCGTTCACATATTTGGTATTTCTCTCTTTGGGACCTCTGTCTCACTGTTCGTTCCGCAGCTTCTGCTACCCATAGACAATCAGCGTTCATTCCTCTCCGCCGACGAAGATGTGCTGCAGTCCGAACATCAAGCTTGGCAGCAAGATTGTCGCACCTTTTGTCCTAACCAAGGACTGGATATGCTGGCAACTAAATGTCATTGCTCGGCTTGCTCTATACACTGTCAAGGCAGGCCAACCAGGGCATGTGATTTTCCTCAAAAGTAGTATTATTGAACATGTTCATAGAGAAGCTCATGAACTTGCAAGAATGGCCAGATGCCCTGTATTGCTTCAGGATGTAACTGTAGTTACAATCTAATAAAGAGGTCACTATGATTTAAAAACAAGGGCACATCTTTGAAATATCAGTCATTTCCAGTGGTAAGAGACACAAGAGAAGTGAGAATATTGGAGGAAGGACACTGGTATATGAACATGTGCTGTTTCTCCCAAGCACTCAATAGCTTGCTGCCAGTTGCATTAACAGCCAAACTAACTTCTATCAAAAAACTGGACAGCCAAACTTAACAGCTGCTGACTGTATAAATAAGAGAATTACAAGTTGCTCCATGCACTGGAATCATTGTAAACTGTTCCCACTTGCCCCCAACAATAGAGTAGTGCTAGGCGCCCGGTGGTTTTTTCACGACGACACTAGTTAACAACCACCATGTATCAAATTACTACTTGAAAAATGAGACACAGGGTCACAATGAGGTTGGACGTAAAAGGTCGTGTCCAGAGAAATTCCGCCAATAATACGACAAATGTAGCATAATTTTCATTTCAACTTGCCACTGTTGCTTAAACTAAAAGGCTAGATATAAACAGGCACAGAAGAACAGCATACAACTGGGATACAATTGTTGGCATGTCTTCTCTAGAAATCGAACGGTAACCTGAAGCCATGATAGCTACGTTAGGACTACTCTACTGCAAAATAATACTAAGCACAAAGGATAGTCAACGAAGGGAATGCCAATATAACAGGCTTGGAATAACCAAACATTTCTGTATCACCATTCCATTATCATGCCTAATATACTCTAGTTTACTCTAGCTTTCTTGTGTGAACCAGGTTCGACGATGGTCGGTTTTCCATGCTCTATCTTGAACCTATTCCGCGCTTCCACCAAGAGAGTCGGAAAATTCTGCATCAAATGGAGGTACTCACTTGACGTCGCGACCATCTTCAAATTGTCACCATCAGTGAGGAAATCAAAGCACCTAGCTTTGAGTTTGGGGCAGACATGGGCCTCCGCAAGTTCCAACATTGAAACCAGTGTCCGTCGTGATACCATTGCAACATAGTTTGTCCTCACAGATCTTCTTTAGCCCCTCCACCCCATACCTATCAGCGGCTACAAGCAGATGCTGGTACTGTGCCATGGGGGAAGAAATATCTATCTTGCCAGCATCAGGAAGCGAACTATGATATATGTAATGGAGCATTGATCTGAAGGTCGAGGCCTCCATGTCATGAATAGTGATAGATGCCATCTTGCTCTCAGCCATCACACCATAGAGCTCAGCTCTGAAGACTGGCGATCGGGTAGCAAGCACGAGGCGATGTGCACTGAAGCTCTCCCCACCAACATCGAAGGAAACATCGGTGAGATCTTGTTTATCCCACATCATGGCAAGATCATGACCCAAACTCGGGAGCTCCTGCTTCAGCGATGAAGTTGGAGATGTCCAGTTGATGTCAACAGAGCACAACACCACAAAGTAGTTGTCGACCACACAGTTCGCCTTAACCTTATCTCTCCTTGCTATCAGATTGTAACATCCAATCAACCCAGGGATAGAGCCGCCTATGTTCGTCGGCGTCCCCGTCCCCATGGAAGGCGCTGGTGAGCCGGTCTTGTCAAGTAAAACCATGCGTGCAGACACCTTGGGATCGCCTTCCAGATCGGGGTTAGGCCGCACTGCGATAAGGACTAGGA